GGCGTGGGGCCCTGCCTTTACCTTCTGCCAGGCTCCACCCACCCGCTGGCCCCACCCAATTCTCTTCCCCCTCCCTATTGGCCAGCGGTTCCATCCCGTGTGCCGATTGGTCGGTTGCCTTGGAGGCAGCGGGTGAGCAGGCAGGGGCAGGCAGGAGGTCGAAGGGACGCAGGCAGGAGGCCGGCGCTTGCGGGGAAACATCTTTCATTGCCCGTGGCCCCCAGGATTGGGGACAGGAGACATCGGGGGGGACCCCTCAGAGGAGGGTGCAGGCAGCCGCGGCGGTGGGTGAAGGTGTCGAAGGTGAACTTGCCGTGGTACGTCCCCAGGCCGCTGCTCCCTGTAACACACAGCACAGGTCCCCGGTTGGTGGCTGGATCTGGCCGTCGCTCACCCACCGTTGGGGCCAACGAGCCCGAAATGGAGCTTCCAGCTCCCCTCTGGAGGGCAGCACGGAGGAGGCGCCGGTGATGGAGACCGCTTGTGTCTGTGGGCAGCAAGACTTCTTCATCCAGCTGCTTTCTAACCTGAGGATCAGCGGGGAGGGCTGGCCACGGTCCAGCTTCCCCAGAAACTGATCTGAAGAGAGCAATGGAGGTGACCGAGCTGGACACCGAAATGGGGCTTGAGGGATGTTTGGAGGAGGAAGAACGGGCCGGGAGGAGGAAAGGTTCCCCCAAAACCCTCCTGTCAGTGTGGATTTCACCATTTCAGGTAACACATTCGGCCCTCAAAGCTCACCACGTTACACCAGGCTCAGAAGAAGGTTGCTAGAGTAAGAGTTACGCGAAACATCGTCTTCCCAACAGGAGGAGCTGCGCCTTGGAGGATTTCTGAGCCGAGGAAACCGGGCGAAGGCTGGAGCCTTTCACGTCGTCCTGCTGTTTCAGGGAGGGGATCGGAAGTGCCCCCGCTTTGGTGGTGGATGGGAGAAGGGGGGAGGGGGCGGGAAAGCAGCACATTCGGCGTGGCATGGCAGGGAAAGGCAGTGAGAGCGCTGGTCGCCGCCCTCCCATCCTCACCCTCCAGGGAGGAAGCTGTGGTTTATACCAGCCTGAAACAGGTACGGCTTGTTTAACGGATGCCCTTGAGGATGCTGGGAGACATGTTCCCATCACCATGGGTGCTTAAGCACCTAAAACACTCCGTGAAGAAAACTGGGCTTGCTTCTGGATTCTCAGCTCTTTTCCCAGGTGCTTCCTACATCCCCTCTCAAGTTTCTCTTTTTACTCTAAATCTGAAAACTTTCTCAAAATAAAAACCAACTCACTTTCTTGATCACAAATCCTCGGCTGGTGCCAGAGTGACTGGGAGGGACGTCACCCACATGGTGTTGGAGCGGGCAGCAGCAGGGAGATGCCACCACCAGGCAAGCTTCCCTACCGCAGGGACACCCTCCAAAACCTGTCCCCTTCCGTGCTGGCTCCAGCCCCGCTGCTGGTGGGACTCCAGGAGTGGAGGGGGGTGGTTGTCAAGGTGACTGTGGTGAGGATGTGACCCACGGATGGGTGGAATGACTGTTGGGAGGTGAAAGCTGGCTGGCCAGGAGCAAGCGGGGAAAGCCAGGCAGGCTGGCAGAAAATAGGGAAAGCCAACTGTGTGCTGGTAAGGGGTGCAGTAAAGCTCTGTGAGCTTGAGCTGATCGGTCTTCCTGATAAAATGCAAACCCCCGTCAAGCAGATGAGTTCTGTTTGATCCCTCGCCCATCAGCAGCCCCCAGCACGGGGCAAGGTCACTAGACGGCTCTTGGCCGGCTGAGCGGCTGGTTCTCGGGAGGAGGATAGGAGCTGGTTGTCCATGGCAGTGAAGATCCTCTGATCAAAAGTGGGTGTCCCCATTACCCAGACTCCTTCCTCCCCAAGGGAAGAGAGAAGCACGTCTGGACGTGTTTTTCAAGTAGACATCCAGAAGAAACACAGCCCCAAAGTGCTGTTGCTGCCCGTGAGCTGTGAAACGCCATGTCACAGGGGTGTCGTAGTGACTACAGGTTTCCCTGGATTCGAGGAGAGGCTGGGTGAGTATGTGGGGTCCGGCACCCCTTACCAAACAGGCAGGACCCTTCTATCTTAGAACATCATCTGAGCTGGGAACAGATGGAGGCTGGAAGACTTTTGGGAGGAGATATCTTGCACCTCGCCCTGTTCTTACGCATCTGCACAGGGTTGTGGTGGGAGAATGCAGAACTAGACACAGCTTCTTTCCAAAGCCTTTAACAGGACGAAAGGATTGTTTTCCAGCTGATGCTCAGGATAGAAGACATCCCGTGGGAGCTCAGAGTCACACAGGTCAACTGAAACATGAGGGCGACACCGTTTAGAGCTGATACTCGTTTCCTTGCTTCACGCTGACGCGAATCCATGCATGATTGCTTGAATTCCTCAAGAGTAAACCTAAAAGCACTGCCTGCTGGCCCGTGCAGGTGCGGAGAAGACTGCAGCACCGCAGGAAGTGTGGCGACAGCCTCCTCGGGTGCCTTACTTCAGCCATCAATGCCGTACTTCAGAGCCAAATTTAGGCCTTTTCGTGGTCTGCTGATGTACAAAAGCTTCGCGTGAAGGAACAGGGAGGACCACCAGAAGTTGCACGTGTGAATAAATTTCCCTTACAAATACCGCCCTTGGGCGACTGGTCAGCTGTGAGACGGGACGATGGCAAACGCTTGTGACGTTTTTCACTCTCATCGTATCTCTGCGAGGCTGCGGTCTGGATCCCCTGCTGCTTTATGCGGTGTAGGTCTTCAGGAGTTTACGTAAAGGAACCCGTGTGCCTTTGGGAATTTGTAGGAACTTGGGCTGTCTTCAGACCCAGGGTCTAGAAGATCCATGAAAAACTGAAATTCTGAATTCCTGAAAACTGGATCACCACCAAAGTTCTCTTCTGCCGAGGAGAGGGGAAGCGCAGCAGCAGGCTGGGTGCCAGCACCCTGCCGAGGCACTGCACGTGCAAAGGAAGGTCTGGAGATGTTTCTGTGGTGGCCCCATTCAAAATTCCCTACTTTTTAAACAAGGCATTTCCACATGGAAACAGGGAGCGCTGTGCTGGGGGTGGAGAACACGGGGAGAAGAAACCTCCCCGCATCTTCAGCAAGAAACGGGGCTGCAAAGCCCCAGAGCTCGGCCCGGGCGCAGCGAAGCAAAGGGCTGCTGCTGGGCTCCGACTGGTGGGTTTCCCTCCAGACCATTGAGCCCCCTGGGCCTGGGTGCCCCGGCTCCCCTGAGACCCTTCCTCACCACGGCTCAGGCCCCGGGGGGTAGGGTCACGCCTGGCTCCCGCTGGCCGGGGGCAGGCGGGTTGGGGGGCTTTGGACCTACCGATGCCCCCGAAGGGCAGCGAGATCAGGGCGAAGTGCATCAGGGTGTCGTTGCCGCAGAAGCCACCGCTGCTTGTCCGCTCCAGGACCTGGTTCACCACCTGGGAAGGAAGGAGAGAAGGTGGACGTGGGTCTCACACCCTGTTCCCACACCCCCGGCAGCCATCCTTCCCCCTCAGGCAGGGCTGGCTGCGCTAAAGAAAATGTTTGGAGCGTGAACACGGCTGAATGCACCTGCCAAGGGGGCAAGCGTGGCCCCGGCTTCACACACAGCCTGGACCCGGTACCTTGTCATCGGAGGAGAAGGCGTAGACGACCAGCGGCCGCTCACGGCGATTGATATAGTCAATGGCTTCGTCCACGTTGGCCACGGTGACAATGGCCAAGATGGGGCCGAAGGTCTCCTCCTGCATGATAGGATCAGAGGGCTGCAAGTCCACCAGCACCGTGGGAGCTGCCGAGAAAGAAACCCAAAGGCATCAGCCGCGCGCAGAGGGTGGAGATGACGCCTTGGTCCTCTCCCCAAGACCTCCTCTACGATAGGATGCCTCGCCAAGCTCCCCGAATCCTGTGCAATCCTTCCCTGGACGTCACTTCCATCTAGAACCTCCCATCCAGATGTGACACCTTCTCCAAAATCCAAGTCCGCTCCATACAAGGACAAAGACTGATGTGAAGCTCAAGCCCTCACCGATGTAGCGCTCCTTCTCGTCC